CATCGCCATTCGGTCTGGCTGGGAAAAAAAAAAAAAAAGATCGCTTGCAGACCGGGAGGCCGTCACTAACGGGCACTAAACGTGTCCGCGTTCCGCGTGGGTGAGCCCCGTCAGTCCTTCGCCCCACACGCCGGGCTCCGACCGGGAGCGAGCCGCGGAGCGCAGGCCCGTGTCCCCTCCGGCCCGCCGTAGCGCCACCGCCCCCCCCCCCCCCCCCCCCCCCAGCGGCGTCGCCCTTCGGCCCCGCGGCTGAGGATCGGCGTGGGCTGCCGTGACGTGTCCCGCGGCGCGGGGCGGCCGGGTGACGCACGCGGAAGCCGCCGCCAGGCACCGCCGGCGGTTGTGCCACGGCGGCAGCGGCGGCGGCAGCAGCAGCTCCCGGGGGGAGGGAGGCGGCGCCTCCGCTGCGCATGCGGCGCCGGGATGGAGCCGTGAGTGGTGGTGGGCGGGGGAGCAGCGGGGTGGTCGCCGCTGGCTCGTCGCGGGTGGGGGTGGGCGCGAGGCACGGCGGCGGGGACCCTCGCGCGTGCCGGGTGCCGGGCGGGGCGGCGGCGCGCGGGTCTGCCCCTGCGCTCTGGGCGCTGGCGGCGGGAGCGGCCGTTCAACGGCCGGCGGGGAGCCCGCCCGTGGGGAGCGCGGTCCGCTGGGTCCTGGACGTGCCGTGACCGCGACGAGCTTGTTTGCTCGGGGCCGGGGAGGGGAAACGCCTTCCTCCGGCCGAGTGCGGTCGTTTAAGCTTTTACCCTGTAAAGAGCTGGATCTTGTCATTCGGTTTATGCACGTTAATCCTCAATAAGGAAGTAAGATCTCCGAGGGCCAAATTAGCGTGTCCGAGGCTATGGTTCGCCAGTCAGAAACCCGCGAGTGACTACCCGCTTCTTTAGAGGAACGCTGCGGTTTTTCCTCCTCTGTGGCGAATATCCACCCTCACCCGGCCCCCCCATGTCTCCACTCTCAAATTGTGTCTGTTAAGGAAAAAGAAAAACTCGTTTTCCCGGATATGTCTTCATGTGGACAGAGCCGTAGCTGTGTGTAATTATTTGGACTTCACTGGATACAACAAGCAAGACACTGAAAAAAAACCCAAACTCACACCTGAGCTGGTCAGCATAGTCATGGCTAGCTGTCAGTTGTCGTATAACAGTGCTGCGTAGTACTGTTAATATCAGTTGTGTGCGGTTTTTTATGTAGTCATGTGCTGCCTCATTAGCTATTAACCATTGTGTAATACATCTGCAAGAAAAAAATTCAAGGTCTTCTGAGGGACACCAAAGCAAGAGATGTCTTTAAACCATGAGAAAGTGCAGTGTGCACAGATAGACCCAGTGCTACCAATGTAGGTACCATATATAATCATTTAAATCAAAGTGGTTTTGATGGTTTCATTTGGGAGTGAGCCTAAAATAGAAAAGAGCAGTTGGAGGCAGAGATGTTGAGGGTATTGTGTCAGAAAAACTGTTGGGTGTAAAAATAAATTACTAATTTTAATATCAAATTACCTACTGCTTAATCCCAGTTTTGTCACAACTTTCCCATCTGTAAAGTGAAAGTCTTAAGTGAAAACTATTATATAAAAGGCTCTGTTTTTCATAACTGTCCATAGTAAAGACTGTGTTGTACAGGCGTGAGAAGTGATTTTAAGATGAGTAATAGCCTGAGAAACAATTTGCTTAATGATTTGAACCAAAACTTTATTCAAAGAGCAAGATTTAACCTACCTTTACATCTCACATATGAGTGGCTATTGAAAGTTTGCAGTTTTTATCAGTGTGAGTTTCCATAGTTCATTCTATCACAGATTGCATTAGTGCAGTTTATTTTTTACTACTATTTCAGATGTCAAAGTATACTATTTCTCTGTATATCAGTGCATTCTGCTCCTTTGCTGTTAGCTTCAGACGTATCCAATTTAATTATAAAATATTTAGTTTCTGTCTGAGTTGAGATAAAACTCAGTACAGGTGGTAAAAGCTGCCTGAAAAATCTGCAGACACGTGGACAGCTCATCTTGAGCTTTGGGCTGCCTTGGCTTAGGCTGATTAAAGCATCTTCCTTTGGTAAAGCAAAGCACAGTTCTTTACTCATTTGCAAAGGTGCTTCCAGGGTGAGGAACCTTTTTTGCTTTTCCCATAAATGCCTTTCAAACATTTTATTCTTTATTAGGCTTTTCAGATGCAAGAAAGAAGCTGTTAGAGGGGGATCATCAACTTGCACTTATGTATATTCATAGATTTTATATAAGTCTTTCCAAAAGGCAGATGTTAAACAATGAACATACGGGAAGATCATTTTATCTGCTTTGCACGTCAGCTGGTGACATGCTGGAATGAGGCGCTTAAACCACACGAGAAACTTCTGTTATTGCAGTGAGGGATAATGAAGAACCCATCACCCGATGGAAATGCTATAGATTGTTGTTTGCTGTCATGGTGAATGTAGTTAAGATTTGGCTGAGTTCTTACATTTACTCTTACAGAAAGTGTCCATGTTGCTTTACTGACCTGTGAAGTAGCACATGCAGTCAGTGGCTTAAATGAGACTTCAGGAGTACCAGTATGAAAGAAGAAAGGAAGGTACAGAGTGTGCCCCTACTCTCTCTGGTCTCTTCTCTTTGTTAAGTGCCAGCATCACTGTTGTTAGGTAGGTGTATACATACCCATTTTGACTACTAGGTTTTGCACCACCTGGAGTTGGAATAAAGAATGAGCCAACGTCTGGAACATGTTTCTTCAAAAGCTTCCAAGCACAGCTGTGCTCTGGCATACGAGTAAACCAAAGTGATAATTGCCGAGAGCTGTAACACTGTGAGTGTTGCCTGGGTGGTGGCTCTGGTGACTCTCCTGTAAGGACGGTGGAGATGAAGCTGCTTTTCATGTTCACATTGTGCATTTTGAAGTGCCTGCAAAAACTTGGAAACTAGGAAGCTTATCAAAAGAACCAAGAATATGCATAAGAAGTCAGAAGTATCCTACATCAGACTGCAGCTGTTAAGTGGATGCCCAGATAGGTGTAAGCTGTTGGGAACAGTACAAGCATATGTGTTTCTTTCCTGCATGTGTCTGATACACTTCCAGTCATCAGCTATTCTCGACTCATGGACTTTCCCAGCCAGACCTGGTTTCTATGTATTGAGTGATCCTGTGTGTGCTCTTCCATGAAGCATTTGGCATCCACTTGAACCGTTATAGTTAATTTAGTCATGTCAACTTTTTGTGCATCATTTTTATATATCAAGGATTTTCTTGTTAAGATTAGTATTTTGGTATGTCAAGATAATATCTCCTACATGGTGTTCTTAGGCAGATAAGGAATACCAGGTCATGTGTGGAACTGAAGGAGCCTTTGGAACAGATAGGAAAATGCACCTTATTTCGTTATTTTAGTACTAGTAGAGATATAATAGCTTTAAAGTGGTTTAAGTACATGAACACTGAGGTGTTGAGACATTGATTTAAGGAAGATCCTGTAGTTGTATTGCTGCAAAAGTTGTGCAGACAAGTCCTGGTTTGAAATGCCTCTATTACTTGGCATTTTTCAAAGTTATCTAAAGATCGTGTTTGTCTGTGAGACTTATGTGTGATGATCTCTTTGACAGAGATCTGATATGTTCCTGTTTATGACTGTGGTAATTTCATGTACAATTTACCTTTTTTAGCCTGTACAATTACCTATTCTGACTTCTTAGACTGGTGTGGAGTTTTTGCTGCGCACAGTGGTCTGTGGCAAGGCAAGTTACACTGTGACTGCAGGGGCTATGCCGGGAGTCCTGTGCACCCAGTTGTGCGAATTTGTAACATTCACAGTTACTTGCTTGCAGGTCTCATTACTTCTGTGGATTTTTGCTCCCTTCCTCACCTCCTGTGTGAGTTAAATTAAGATTTGAATATTTCAAACTTTGCAGTAAAGGAATAGTGTAACTATTTCACTAAAGTCTTATGTTTTCATTTCTTTCCATGATGGCGCTCATACAACTTTATCAGAAAACACCCTAACCCCCAATCCTACAGCTTCCCTGTATAAACTATACAGCTTCCCATGATCATACTTATGGAAACAGCAGTAGAAAAGCAGCTGTATGGTGGCTCAGCTCTGGCATAACTCAAAATGAAATGTTGGCTGCATTCTGAAACATGGTGGATTTGTCCTTTTTTGAGCTATGCATTTAACAAAAAGGAAGACAGAGGAGGGATATGTTACGCATGATTAATTCTTTGATTGTATTTCCCTTAAGCTAACAGAACTGGAAGTTAGCTGTTTCCAAGAAAATACAGTTGGTCCTTTCAAGACTTCTTTTCCCCTCTATTTTGTCTTTTATCTAGTGATAATCTCCAAACAGTTGTGGAAGAGATGTCATTGCTTTTATGTCTATTTGTATTTAAGTGTCTAATAATAAACTTAAATTCAGGTTTCTATTTCCCAAGCTTTGGTGGAGCTCAGGCAAGAATGCAGAGCCTGAGCATGCACATCTAGCAGATCTGGAATTCCACCTTACTCCTTGTTTAGGGGTGATCCAGCAGGGCTGAGGTATATATATGTAGGGTGTAGACAACTCATCAAGATCCGGTGCAGGTAACGGAGTTGTTAGTGATGTCAGTCCCTTTATGTTAAGCTGTCATTGCAGGAGACATGGTATCTTGTATGTTTAAATTATTAATGTATGAACTAAAAAAAAAAATTTTCTCCCTCTATAGAATGCTTTCTCTTGCTCAAGACTTAGGACAGTAGAAAACCCTAGCATAAAAAGAATGGGCAAAATTCATATATTTTGGGGTGCGGATGTGTGTGCATGTACATATGTATAATAATTCCTAATAGTCATTCTTGCTCTATAAAGCAGCAATAATATTTTTTCTCTTAGTCACATGTTACCCCAGAGGTTGGTTTAGTTTTCTTTGTGGAAGAATGAATGGGGTCTATTCTCTTCCTGTTACCCCCCCTCCCCTTCCCCCCTTAGAAATATGACTGACAGCTAAATCTGTGCTTTCTTTTGCTTCCTGTAGGCTGGCACCGATGCGATTATATACACTGTCCAAGCGGCATTTTGTTCTGGTCTTCGTAGTATTCTTTGTTTGTTTTGGTCTGACAGTCTTCATAGGAATAGCGGGTAAGGATGTTGTCTTTTTAAAAGATTACAGTTCTTGTATGCTTTGTCTAAACCTGTTGGTATTTACAGATGTATTTAAATGCTAATGAGCTTACTGCCTCTGAGATGTCTGAGGAAGCATTACTTTTGACAGGGAGGGGGAAGTGTCTCCTCCATCTGATTTTTACATAGGAGTACTACCCTACACAGTTTTGGTATTTGCAACTGCTTTGCAGGGGAGAGTCAGTAAAGTAAAACGAAACCAGCTTCATTGTAAGATAATTTTTCAGCAGACCACTACATTAATTTTCTCCTTTGTATTTCAATCTGTAAAATGGTGGTGCTAATACTTGATTTCCTGTGAGGAAATTGATAACTGTTTGTAAAGCCTTCTAAATGTTTGGGTGATAAATGCCACAGAAATATCAAATAATTTAGTAATGTAAAAATATGAACTTCTGTTGTCAAACATATATGAGCTTAGGTCTCTGGTTTCAAAGACCTCTGGGAGGCTAAGCACTTTGTGCCTGGATACTTATCCTGGAGATCAGAGAGATTTGTGGAAGTCTGGTCGACAAAGTTGCAGAGTGTTGTTAGGCAGATGGAAAGTGTGGGAGCCCTCAGTATTTCATGCCAGAGAGCTTTTCCAGGTCTAAAATGTACTTGAAAAAGAAGTCAGTGTGCTGTCACTGGAATGCTAATAAGCTAATACTCTGCTGTCAGGATAGTTTTTTCAACACAGACCTGACAGGCAGGGAGAGGGGAAGGGAGGGACTTGTACTCATTAAGCAACCTGCCCCCCATGTAAGAATTATTTAAGGACATTACCACCTCCCCCCACTTTACTGCTTATTTCCATGTCACTCAGCGAGTTCTCCTGTGGCATTCTGACACCTCTTGACCTGCCTGTAGGGTTGTCTCTGTCTCTGCCCTGTCTTTCACTTCCTTTAGGGTGAGACGGGCTGCCCAGGCCTGGGACTCATCTGCTCCTGCCTGCCTTGAAAGAAGCAGGGGGGTTAATTGGAGGCAGCTGTTTGGGCTTTCTGTGCCCATCTGTGCCTTGTAGGCAGTACATTCTTCATAATAGCATTAAATAATAAAATTTGTCTGTGAAATAAAACCTTCTTTCCTGTCGTTTGATTTATTGTAGCAGCCTAAGGTCCAGACTTCCAGTTCATAAAGGTTAACCACTGATATTCCTGTGACTTGCCCAAGGATGCTGAAGGGCATTGTTTGAGCACTAAAATACCATATAAATACAATAAAAATGCATCTTATATGAATGAGAAAGGAAAAAAAATGCCTGGAATTACTTAATTTAGTGTCATTTGGCCTAAGAAGTGAACTATATTTGTAGTTAAGTATTTATACTGCCCAGTTGCAAGAGAGTTGTTTTATGTAAGACCAGGCAGAAAGCAGTGCTTCTGGAAGAGAAAAACTGAGCATTTAATTCTTAATTGGTAGCAGAACCTGAAAGAGAGCTGCAGTGGTGAGTTGCAATGCATCTGCATGCAGAGTGATCTGGTGATGTGGTTGCCTTTGGTCCAGGGGACTTGACTGCTGTAAGCAACGCTTGGACATCTTTACCCTGCTGGGGTCTCAGGGCTCGCCTGTGATCCCCTCTAGGAACTGGCAAGGCTGTGGGATTCTTGTCCTTGTAAGATTGGTTTGCTGGAGAGTTTTATTGACAAAGCATGAACACAGTTCATTATTACAACTTAATTATTTTTAAAAGAATGCTGTTTACCTTGGGAGGAGACCCACTGAACACTTAACTGTGATGTTTTACCCTGGCTTTTGTTGACAGCTCCTTGCTTCCTGTGAATAGAGGGAAGGGCCCTAACAATAGAGTCCTCCCTCATTAAAGGGTGCAGTCTGAGCAAAATGCACCAAACCCATTAAGTAAATGAAAAAGTAGGAGATACATCCATATTTTCTGTGCTACTTGAATATGCCACTGCCCATACTCAACATCTCTATCTGCAGTTTGGAAAGCCTAGCAGAAGTCTCGCTTCTCATCTGAGAAAACAAGACAGTTTAATCTGAGGTGGCTGTTGCTCTTCAGTTCTTGTAACCCAAGACAGGCACAGGCTTGTTTTGTTTTTGTTTTTGGTTTGTTTTTGTTGTTTTTTTTTTTTTTTTTGTGTGTGTGTGTGTGTTTTTTTGTTTGTTTGTTGTTGTTGTTATTTGTTTTTTTTTCCCCAGTTACACTCACTTTCTTTCCCTTTTCCCAATGGGTCAGTGTTATCTTTGGGGTGAGACAAGTGCAAGGAAAATCCAAGGTGCAGAACTCATTTTCTGTACTTGCGCAGTTTTCCTGTTCACTACCTCAGGGGGGTTCTTTGCTTTCAGATGTGATTCTGTTAACTGAGCAAGACTAAAGGAAAACCAATAATATATTGAATATAATTGACTATAATATTGCTTATATATTGAATATATTGCTTGTTAGAGGAGTAACAGTTATAGCAGTAGAAACTCATTATTTTTTTGGTTGCTGCTCTTAAAAAATGGGACTATGATCCCTCTGTCCCAATATTGGTTCATACCTTCTGGTAAAAAAAACCTTGTTAAAAAGGCTCATTGTATTGTTTTTGTTAAGACTTAATTACTGAAATATGATGACTTATCAACTGTGAGCACTTACTGAAATTGAATTATGCTTTTCAAAACAAAAATGCCTTCCAAAAATCTGCCCTGTTTATATGTACTTGAGAACTGAAAAGTTCAATGATGCAGAACTGACTTTATAGTGGGTGGCTGTTGGTAAAGTTGAACTGTAATTCTAGTATGAAACTTTGGGTGTGATGGGTGAAATTCTTAATTTTTCCATTTAAAGTCTGTAAGATGGTTAAATACTGTAATTAGAGTGGTTATAGAGGTGCAAGCAATGCTGCATGTTTAGAGCTGTCATGACAGCTAGCCTAAAATACTTCTTGCACTGAATGATCCCATGTTGCTCATTTATAAACTTCCTTCCAAACACACTCACATATGCCCTGCCTGTGTCCCTGCCTGCTATACATCTCTGTGTTTGTTCACACCTCAGTATATAGATGCAGACCTTTTCCTACTCTTTGCTTTAATTTTTCTGGTTTAGTCCTTTCGTGTATGTACATACACACATGCATTCCTCTTCTCCCTGGTACCATGTGTTCTTGCATAACTAAGAAGGCTGAGGTGAAACCATACTGCTTTCTACAACAATCTTAGCAGGCTACACAGAAGATGGGGCTAATCTCTTCTCGGTGGTGCATGATGATAGGGTGAGAGGCAACAGACACAAGCTGGAACACAAGAAATTCCAGTTAGATATGAGGAATTTTTCTTACCATAAGGGTGGTTAAATACTGGAACTGATTGCCCAGGGAGGTTGTGGGAGTCTCTGTCCTTTGAGATGTTCGAGATTTGACTGGACATGGCCCTGAGCAAGCTGATCTAATTAAACAAGAGGGTGGACTAGATGGCCTCTGGAGGTCTCTTCTAACATAAATTATGAATTTATTGCTTCCCATTTACTGCATACAGAGCTAGAGCTGTGGCGTGAGTGGATGGATGCACTTGATCAGTACGTGTTAAGTGTGTATGTTTGTAACCAGAATGATTGGAGGAATGTTTGCATAGTCTGGTAGCAAGCTGAACATCTCCCACTACAACTGGACATGAAACTCCATTGATTAAATTAAGTGTCTGTTTTAGGAGAAATTGTTTATATAACTTTTATGCAATTATGTTTATTTATGTGATGATGTACATGATATGTTATCCCCCCAGATTTCTGTAGAGAAGGAAGGGCCCAATCTGAGTAGACTGAGAACTGTTCCTAAACAAACACATGGGTATCTTGGCTTGAACAGACCAATGTGATGAAAATCCAGCACTAGCCGGAAAGTACTGTTATTGTGGTTGTACAAGCAAGTACACTACACATACATGAAAAGGCATTAGCATCACGCACTCAGGTGCAATGGGATGTTTGCTCTGGTACCCGAGGCTCGAGTGCAATGCATTATGGATGCTATGCTCTATGTAAATCAGGTAATGGTAGCAGTTTGGCTATAGAAACTTTATAATGCAATTAAATATGCTGTTTTTTTCAGGTGCTATTTGCAGACCTTGCTGAGCTTCAAGTTGCTGTAACAACAGTGCCACTGGTGCTCAGCTAGGTTTTTCTGTACCTGAGTACGTTCGTGACTGCAGTGTACAACTCAGCTTGGGAAAAATACTGCGTGGTTTGTTGTAGTAGTTCAGAGTACACATGCAGGGCTTCTGACATGGAGGTCTTGATTTATAATTTACTTCGTATTTAATCATTCCTAGAAATACCATGGCAGAGGGGCTTAAAGGAACATTCAGGCCAAGTTAATTGATGATATTAAAATGTTCAGGTGATTTACCCTTTAGCTTAAACATCTGATAAGTGGGATATAATTTACCTGCTTTGCAGGGAGGTATTTTGTACAGTCTTTTGAAATCCTGTATATTTACATCATTACTTATCAGTAATACGCATACTTCAATATTGTTCTCTTTCCTCCTTATTATATATTCTGTAGGTCCTAATGTAATTGAAACTTCTGTGGCAAGAACCGATTTAAATAACAGCCTAAAGGTAAGAATTAATAAATATCATTGGCTTACATGAATAGCTTGATTTGATGTCAGTAATATTAAACATTCCCCTCCTTCCCCCCAATTATTTTAAGTCTTTAAATTTTTACTGGAAAACTTCTTGGCCATGTGGTGCTTTCCAGTTTGAAATTGAATGTGCAATATTGTATTACCACTGTGTTATTTCAGGAGTGGCACAGCAGCAATTTCTAGTCTCTTACTTTTGTGAGCAGGCAAGGTAAAGAATTCTATGATGTTTCTGCACAGTCATTTCTGATGAAGTAACACCTGAGTTTTGGTAGGATTCCCTGGTGAGCTCATGTTGGAGATTCTTGTAGGGGGTCCAGAAATAGAAATTTAGAACATAAGCTGAAAAACAGTGCTCTCAGTGGCAGCTAATGACATCCCTCTTGCAATCTTACTTTATCAGCTGGGAAGAAATATTTATTTTTCTTGTTAATTGTTCACTGTCACCTGATCAAGACATGGAATCTGGCTTCCTGACATGAATGTTCACATTCATTTTCTTGAAAACTTTTATATTTTGATTCTCAGTTCCTGCATTTTTATTTCTGTCTAGCTCTTCACTGGCAACGTAATATCTAAAGTAATTTTTGTGAAAGTGCTAAAAAGGTTTTGTGGTTTTGTTTTGATTTTTTTTTTTAAGCAAATTTTCTTTAAAGACACTGGACCATTTCCTTTTTTGGTCTATTAGTCACCTATATATTTTTGGATTGGTACTGTATTATGGGTGGTGTTTAAAAGAGCATATTTTGTATCACATAAGTCTTTCCTGCATGTAGGTTTTATCTGTTAATGATATCTTCCATGCTTTTGAAATGAATGTGGCATTTTTTTAAAACCTAGTAGAAAATAGCTGTTGTTTTCATAATTATAGTTGAACAGGTTTAAAAACATGTAGCAGATGAGGGGTCACAAATCGTGCTTCTGATGGAAAGTGCTAGAAATTACTCTTTATCAGAATATTCTTTTTTTGTCTGAACTTTTTTGTTTTATTGCTGCTGCTTTTATGTGCTTTAAGTAGTTGTACCTTTCCTTACTTCAGTGCTGTGCAAAATAAGTGTGCTATTTAAGCTACTTCTCTGAAAGACTTATGTTTGAGCCACTTATACTGTCCACAGAGTAGCACATACTAAATTTATTCCTAAAAATATTGTCACAGACATAATTAACAGGCCTTTCACCACTGCAACTGCAGATATGTCATGTAATGGAACAATGGTTGGTGCTAACCTTGTGGGGTTTTTTACAGCTGAAGCCATTTAATTTAAGTTCACCACCACTGTCTACTTACAACCAGCAGCTGTGGCTGACCTGTGTAGTTGAGTTGGATCAGCACGATGGTGAGAATTTTACCTAATTCTCAGGAAACTGCTATAGCAACCTGTATATTATAATTTTGTTTGTCACATACATGATCCTGTTGTTTTCTGACTGTGATTGGTGGGTTTTTCCTCTGATACGTTTTATTCCCCTCCACCCCCTGCCCCCAGTAAATACATGGACCGCACTGATCTTGAGAACTGGAAGCGACAGGTATATGGGATAAGTTGTTTGTTATTTCTGTGAAAGCAGTAATATCTAGAGAATCTGTCTCTCCCTTCACTTGGGGGGGAATTAGATGTGTAGATTGTAATGATGCAAATTTTTCAATAAAACTTCTCTGTAAATATGTGAGAAATACTGTATTAGTAATTGTTAATCTGGCAAGGTTCAGTACAGGGCATTTGGGACTTACTGCCTAAGTACATAAATAAAAAGTTTTATGTTTGTTTTATTAATATGCTGGACCTCTACTCCAGTAAAGTATAACTGAATAACTTTGATTAATTTTAGGATATCATATGTTTTTTAAACTGTATTTGGAATTCTATTTGAGATTTAATTTCTGCATGTAGCAATAGCTTAATGTTTTCTTTTTTAATTACAGTATCCCTCAAAAAGAATGTTACTATGACAGTCAAAGTACTTGGGGTGGTGAAGGATGGAAGCACACCATATGTTAATAATCAAGTTCACAATCGGATGAGATTACTCAGTTGTGCACAGGTATGTCCCTGCTTAAACAAAATTCTGATGCAGTACATCTTTAAATCTATTTGCATGCATGTTACATTATGTTGCAAATTAGAAGAATATGTCTGTTAAGCACATCCTGGGAAAGACTCTAGGGTATGGTTTTGTTTGTAATTGTAACCTAGCTAGTAATGCTGACCAAGATACGGAGCTATCTGTCTTTTCCTATTTACTTCTATGATTTGTGTCTATTACCCCTCTTTCTTGTTAGAGCAGCTTTCTGCCAGCAAAGCAATGTGTCCTGCTTAGTCACCTAAACAGATTTAGCAGTACTGAAGAAAGGGATATTATAGTAGAAGTTGGATATAGAACTCTAGATGAGAGAAGAATTCTTCTCCAACACCTAGCAGACAGTCTGGTTGAAATCAGCTGGCATCTGTGTTCTGAAAAAGCCAAATTTCTTGCCATCGGTGAAGACTATATAATAGTATAATTTTTATAATTAAGAAGATTATATAATAGTATAATTTTCACTGAAGTTTTTAAGCTTAGTGACATCCCAAACAGCTTCTCCAAATGCAAGTCCTGTAGGAAGGGCATAGCTGAAGTTTTTTGTGATGGGCATATAGGGTAAATAAAATGTTTTATTTTTATATATAAATGCATACTATGAAATCTGCAGAAATTAAAGAACAGTGTTCTGTTAGATTTAATTACACACAGCCAAGAGAACAATATGCTTGGGTTTTCTCTTTCCTCCTGTTAACTTTTAGAAATTAGTTAATACAAAGTAACCCCATCTCACAATCCAATGACCTGGAGAATGACCTGGAGCTTGACTGACACAGTTATTCAGATCCTCGCTGGTGCTGCGAGCAGTTGATTTCACCACCTCAAGTGAAAAGCTAGTCTTGTTTATTGGTTCAACCTTTGATCCTGCAGTTTGGCTTTATCAGTTTCTGATCTCTTTCAAGAAATTCTTTGTCTGCAGGTCTTGTCTGACTGATCAAGATTGGTAAGGCATATAATAAATGTCATCAATATCTGACCATTTAGAAACCAATTCTCCAACCTATACTAACAGTGCATATTCTGGAATAAATTGAAGGCTTTTACATACTATTCTTCACTGTATGTGTTCACAGAAATGCAGTGAAATCATTGTTGCTCACCTTGGCTACCTGAACTACACTCAGTATAACATATTTGTTAGCTTTGAAGACCTAAATAAGTTAACATACACCATCCAGAACATTACTTTCACAGTAAGTATAAAGTTTTATACTAGCAAAAGAAATCTCTTTTATTACTAATGCAGTAGAAGTCTGCTTTAACTGTGATAAAAAGTTAGCTCATTTTTGAAGATAAACATAAAGATATATGATGACTAATTTTTCTGTCACTACTAATGTCAGAACAATTATAGCATTTGCTGTTAATAAGGGTCTAGGCCAATTTTTTTAACTCTATAAGGAAAAATTTTTCTTTCAGAACCACGAAGGCTGTTTTCTGGAACAGATAATTTTAGTCTAATTCCTGGGAGATATTTTTAACAGTAGTCAAGCTAGACTAGAACATCCAGTTTTCTGCACTTGCTTATGTTGCCTCTAAATCTTGATATCTTTTTCAGCCTTTCCAGTAGGTGTATCTGAATTAGCAAGATTTCTCCAGACTTTACAAAAGTATGGGCTTCAAAGATTTAACAAACTCAAAGAAAAATTAAGATCTATTTTTTTTTTGACTGTGCTTTTGAGGAAGAAAAGAATGTTTATTCAGCTAATATAATCAGGCTAATAAAATAATTCACTAAAATAATCCCTAGTGAAATAACTAGCTCAGTTCAGAGTGCTAAAGATTGCTTATAAAACACTTACATCATCTGTGTGTGGTGATTGGCTCCAGAAGGATATTTAGAAACATTTTCATTGGGAGAAAATTAAACTAAACCAAATTTATAATACAGATTACTATGGTATATTCTACCTGTATGCAACATTCAGTATGTCAGAGCAGGTAGCAAGCAAAAATCTTACTGTAAAGCAAAAGTAGTTTTTATATACAAAATTAACTTTCTGAATATTAATATTTGTAATATTCTAGTGCATAAAGTGCATCATCAAAAATAAGATCTAAGGGGAAAAAAAACCCAAACTCACAAACCAGTTGCTTAGTTCTGGATTTCAAACAGGACAAAATGTTGGAGCATTTACAGCTGTATGGTTTATTATCCTGCTTTGCAGGCTGCCTTTAAGGCAGACTTGTGTGCAAAACCAAAAAACCCAAACCTAAAGCCCTGTTTTCCCGCAGCAAGTAAAATTGTCAATTTATTTCATCATTACAATGATTTATGGTGATCTCAGTTGAAATCACAGATTACATTTTGTATAATGGGTTTCTTTACATATAATTTTCATTCTGTATTTACAAAAAGACAAGACAGTGGCTGATAGATTTAATATGTTGCAAGATAAAGCTTCTTGTTTAGATGGGCAGAGCGTATGTTGTACCAGTGAGTTTACATTTCAAAAGTGGCTTCAAAAGAGAAACATGCCAGGTATGAGAGAAATTGTCAACAGAGCAGAGTTTATGCAAACTGACATGTTATAATTAATATTTGTGCCCTTCTAATAGTTAGAGAATAAGAAGGAGCTTTTCCTCCTTAACCTGTGAAAGAAGTTATTTTTGGTTAGCTCATTTATTCTTCCCTTACTTGATTTTCTTTTTCCCACTTCTGAAACAAGAGAGTAAGCTTTAAGAAAACAAACCCTTTACAGGAAGCATGCCTGTGCCTTATCAACCTCTTCATAATCAATTTATATATCTGACCTTGGTAATAAAGAACAACATACTGGTTTTACTCAATTATTGGCATTCAAACTTTGAATGAAAGTGCAATTGAAATTAATGAAGAATATCCTTTTTGTCCTGAGAAGTGCTTTAACATATGACAGCACACTGAGTATGTTACAAGGTGGCAGTGTAAAAGAAAAGCAAGGATATTGGGATGCTTTGGCTATCTTTTCATCAGATAGTTCCATGGGTGTGAATTTATCTTTGTCTTTCCATGGTGACATGGTGGAATTTGGTTTTACCTTTAAATTTTGAAATGCCAGAGAACTTTTCAGTATCTGAAGAAAGAGCTAATTTTTAATGTCATATATACCTTGTCAAAACATTGTTCACTGGGCTATTTTTTTTCTGTTTTCTTGTAGTGGAAGACCTACAATCCAACTTTTTCACAAGTGGAAATATGGTTCCGATTTGTCTTTGTAGTTCTTACTTTTATGGTCACGGTAAGATTTTGTTTCAGTTTTCCTGGAGTATATGATGTAGACAGCTGATAACATTGCTCTGTAGTACTGTTGAGTTACTTAACCCCAGGCAGCAGAGTTATCACTGAATGGGTGTAGAAAATATTTCTAAAATATTTATGTAGTTGCTGCTTTTATGTTTTTACAAATGGTATTGAAGGGACATTAAGAAAATAGGATAAATGGGGAAACGTGTTTTTTCTAAACTCCGATTTTTAATTGAACACAAAGAATCTTGCTTAAACAAAGGAAATTGTGATTAGATGCTAGAAAAAATATTTTTTTGCAGTGCACGTAGGCTCAGACATTGGAATGGGATGCTCTGAGTGTGGGCTCTCTGTCGCTGAAAATGAGCAAAACTTAGTTGAATATGACGTTGATCTAATTTAAAGTTGTCACTGCCCTGAATGTGATGATGTGACAGATGACCTCCAACCTAAATTATGCCACAATTTAGATTATATCTCTCCTCTCCAACATGATTTGGCCCCTGGAAAGGAAGTGTTGGGAAAAAAAAACCCATAAAATCTAAAATGCAGAATTTTCAGAGTAAGGACACTAAAGCACTGAACACTTGCATAAAACTTTTCTCACATAGATGATGTCACTCAGCAGGTAGCTATGAATGTGATAGGGAATCTGCTTTTTAAAAAGTGAGTTTAAGTGGATGTTGTTGGTAGTGCGTGATCAGAAGTTGGGCAACATTTTTTCGTACACTGTTGATTTGCGCGGTACCAGCTGGTTTCCCTCTCAGTTTGCTTGAGATATTAAGTAATTTGCTTTGGGGTAAGCCAGCAAATTTGAAACAGAAGTAGAAGCTAGATGTGTCTCCTGTTACAGTGTTCTCAGTGGCAAAGACCTTGTGAAATAGCCTTTGCAATGTGCTGTGTTCTCTTTACTCTGGTAAAACCATTAAGGCTGTATTCCTTCCTTACAAATTCTTGTTGTTGTTTTATAGTGTCTGTTTGCACACTCCCTGCGGAAATTCTCCATGAGAGACTGGGGTATTGAACAAAAATGGATGTCCATCCTCCTTCCCCTCCTGCTACTTTACAATGGTACTTGCATCCTGGAGTTTTAAGAAAAGTTTTGTTGTTTTTTGGTTTTGTTTTGTTTTTTTTTTTTTTTTTAAAAAAAAAAAAAAAAAAAAAAGAGCTCAAGAGAGAGATAGAGAAGGCAGAATGGAATTTGGCCTTGAACTTACAAGCAGCTATTTATAAGGCTTCAGAAAACAAATTTTTAAAAAACCCAACCCTTTTGAAGTGTATCAAATTCGAGGGCATAATGAGTAGGTGGATTTCATTCTTTCAGTCATGTGAATGTCAACTCTATTTCTTTAAAGCTCTGATTGGAGTAGGTGGCTGCAACCATACCAAAACTTTCATATAGTGACATGTAAATGCAATTTCTGTTTGTCTGCTAAGTCTTACTTCTTCAGTTTTCAGATACTCGCACTTTAGTTAAAAATGGATGCTACTTTTAGTTTAGTAAACCACATAAAGTTCTAGAACTCTCTAGCAGTACCAAAAGAATATTTGCCTTGCAGTCATTGTATGGTAGTGGTTTAGGTCATCACCAAAACCAGTGGTTTAGTAGAACGTCTAATAAAACCTGAAATCTAGAAATGTTGGCAACCATTTCAGATTATTTCTACAGCACAGATGAATGCTGCTGGAGGCACCATTTTCTTTGTAGATCACTTTAAGATACATCAATTTAAATTTCATTTACTGGTGTAATTTGAAAAATATGGGTTTTTTTGCTCCTCTGAAGATACATTCTGCTTTACCTTTCATAATGGAAATGACTGTGTTTTTTCCCCTCTGTTTAACTTTTTCTTCTTGTTTTGTTACAGATCCATTTTTCCCCCTTTCTTTTCTGGTGAACAGCTGGTTTCCTGGAATGCTGGATGACCTATTCCAGTCACTGTTTCTGTGTGCGTTGTTGTTGTTCTGGCTTTGCGTCTACCATGGTATAAGAGTACAGGTAAGGGTGCAACATTATCTCCTACTTACTGAGAAGACTACTTGTTTTTCCAGTTCTCTCAAAAGGTGACAAAAATTAAACCAAATTTTTAAGAAAGAGAAATTTATTTTACTCTTGAAGTACAATGTGACACATGAAGCTTTGCGGTTAAAATGATTTGTGGTGAACTACCTTGTCTTGACACTACCGTGCCTAAATGATGTATATGGGATAGTCCTCTATTGCAAGAGAGTCTTCAGAATTATGATGCCATTATGCTTTGTTCTTGCTTGAAGGGTTTTGTTGTTGTATATGGTGGTTGATTGTTTTTTAAACCACTTTAAAATACTGCATAAGATAAACATGAATTCTGGAGCATATTCCTATATTTGCAGTATCTATAAATATGATGCTCCAAAAATTCTGCATCTTATTAACACCGATGATGATACAATTTTATGTCTTCTGTAATCACCTGTGTGGGTTAAAAATACAGAAGGCAAGTCTCTTAATCTAGTTCATGTCAAGAATGAATGAAAACTCAAATGTGGGTTCACTTCTTCACCCCACTATTGTTTTCTCAACAGGGGGAAAGGAAGTGCTTAACTTTCTATCTGCCCAAATTCTTCATTGTTGGACTATTGTGGCTGGCCTCTGTTACACTGGGAATATGGCAAACGTAAGTAATTTAAAATTTAGTGCAAAAGGAATGAGCTGAGAGTGTTCAAAGAATGAGAAGATTGTTTATAATTAGTGGTATCTGCTTATTAATGCTCTGTTTGTGATGTAGGAATGGAGGTCAAATTCTTAAATCTTTCTGTTTTGCAAATTGTTACTGATTTGAAAACAGAATTCCCCATGGATGATGTAGCAGCATGCAATTTTATAAATCAGAGATCTAGAAATCACTACTTTGTCAATATGTTATGGTTCACTACAATATTCCCTCTAGCACTTTGTCTGAATTATCTTTTAGTATTTGAAGCAACAGTTTCTCTGTAGTTAACTATTACACAGTTTGACCAAAGTTTCTCAATATATTAAACCTGCACAACTGGTATTGACACTGCTTAGTGAAGTTATGCTCTATCTCCTCAAAACTCAGTTCTTTTGCTTGGCTTATTGTTTATCTCTCTTTTTTTTTTTTTTTTTTTTTTTCCCGAATTTGTTGTATTTACATAAAGGTATCACTATTCCCCACCTAGAAAACTTCCTCAGTTTTGGTACATTTGTAGTGTCTAAACCATTTTGGTCTCAAGTGTTTGCCTCTTACTTTGTTTCTCAGAATGCAGTGCAGTTGCAGGAAATGCTCAGCTAATGCGCTATCAGCAGAATGGCTTTTACCACAGTTATTTCTTAAGTATAATTCTTATCACCAAGGATAAAATTTAAACACCAAATCCTGAAGGCTTATAGAAATTTACAAGATTATACATTTCCTAAAAAATAAGTGGTGAGATTAGCCATGTTCACAACTGAAATCCTCCTGTTCCTTCAAAATTGGGTTTGCGAAGGAGGATGTTATGTACTGTAAATTGTGATGGCTCCATTAGAATCAATGGCTTTGCACCAATTTATACAACCAAAGCCTTTAGCTATAAACTCTGTATAGTAACTTTAAACCTTTTATTTGTTAGTGGTTTTCTTGGTCAGTATGGCTTTTTGACCTTGTCTTTTGTAATGGTGTAAGTACCACTTTTTCATTTTGAATCTTTTCCAGTGTTAATGAAGTACATGATCCTACATATCAATACAGGGTTGACACAGGTAATTTCCAGGTAAGTCGAAAATGTTTTCTTGCTATTAAATTGTCAGGTGGAGCTAGACAATACGAGGAGGTGAGATTTGTTCTATTAAAATCTCTGACACAATTTAGAAAACAGCAAATGCTGGTCAGATGGTCTTATTCTGACTAGGGTACTTTTGCATTAAATCATGTGTAGGCCATATTGAGCTCCATCCCAATGAGAAAGAAGAGTAAATTGACTTGCAAATCTGGAGACTCGATACCACAAGTTTAGTCATAGACTCATAACTGTTGGGATTGAGAGAAAATGTTTTAAGCCTCTTATTAAATCAGTTTTGTACATCTTTAGTTCTGCCAAGATCCTCTGTCCTAGTAAATTTCAGACTTTCTCATTGTAAAGGAAGATCTGATTTATATGGGTCCTTGTATTGTTCTCAGGAGCTGTGTTTTTAGCAAATCATTGAGATTCAGCTCACTGAACAAAATGATGACTTCTATTAAACATCCTTTCTTTACATTCCCCAAAAACCTACCTTGATGTATAGCCATCGTCATCTTGTACTTCCTTTCATGAGCCTACTTTCCCTGAATAAATGGACCATTTTATGATGTGCTTTGGGAAATAACGACTTCTATTGAGGGAAGAAGGAACAGACCAAATCTTGTTAAATAATACAAACTAACCCTCTTCTTATAGGGAATGAAAATCTTCTTCCTTGTGGTGGCAACCACATACATTCTCTACCTTTTGTTCCTGATAGTGAGGGCATGCTCAGAACTTCGTAACATGCCTTATGTTGGTAAGGAATATTTCTTTTGATTCCTCTCCAAACAGGCTCACTTCTTCTTAGATATAGGTGTAAATTCACTATAACAACTTTCCTCAATCTTTTTCAGATCTCAGGTTAAAATTCTTGACTGCATTAACCTTCGTAGTGCTTGTCATTAGGTAAGGCTTTTCAAAGTACATTTCTAAGTACTGTCACTTTTATAACCTTTTTTTTCAGGGCTTTGAATAGATTTTGTTGATAATAAAATTGTCAATGAAACCGAGAAATATCTTTTGATATGATTGTTATAGCAAGCATTTATTCATTTTTTAACCCTTCTTGAGGCTTTTAGAGCTAACAGTAATTTCCATTACCACAGCAATACACTGCAGGATTTAGAGGTTCACCTAGCATAGATGTTTTCTGTACTGCTGAGTGGTCTGCAGTGCACCAGTCAACTCTTTGGGAGCTTTGTAAGCTTCACTTAATCAAAGCAGAAGCTTAGAACTAGTTTCTTAGATTATTGTTAGTATCTGTCTCTTCCACTCCAAGCGGTTATATCAAATTACTGTTGACTCTCGGACTGTCTGTAGTGGATGAAATCTGAGGGAAATAGACCTTGTTTGTTGGTTTTGGTTGTTTTGTTTTGTTTTTTTTTTTTTTTTCTTCTGCTTTATTCAGTTGACTGCTGACTTTTAAGCACAAAATAATCATTCTTAATTTACAACTGTGAAAGCAAATGTGTCTTAAAATAAATGATCAGCATGTTAACATAATTATTTTTGTCATATACTCTTCTCTCAAGCTACCATTTCAATTTTGTGGTTTAAAGACACACTACACTGATATGCTTTAATTTTTTTCCACAGCATTGTTATACTCTACCTACGTTTTGGAGCACAAGTTCTACAGGACAACTTTGTTGCTGAGCTGTCGACTCATTACCAGAATTATATCCTTGTGTTGTGATACTACTCAAGCAGGAATGTTAATCTGTTTTCATGGAGAAGGTACTTAAAAATGATGTACCTAAGGACTGAGACCTTTGATTTCTAGGTGGGCTGTTGAAGTTCAATCTGTTTTGATCAAGGTTTCATGTCAGCATTTTGTGGTGGCTCTTCATAAAGACTATGAGCTGAGACAGTTTCAGTCTAATTTGTTTCCATCACATAAATCACAACTGCATTTGATACTCTTCAAAAGGAATGAAGGCCTAGATATGCATGCACTCAAGTAATTTTAACAAATTACTGTGGCAAATCTGGCTGTATTTGGTGCATGAATTCAGTTTGCCATATACTTATCAGTTGGCATGGAGCGTACCAAAATATTTAAGAAATTAATAGTTCAGAAGTCACTGGAAATGCATTTGTGTATTGGGGCAAGTCTCCATGTGGAAGGGGTCATAGCAGAGAATTTAAGTGACTTGAGAGAGACTGTTTCTGATGTCTGTTAGCAACAGGATTACAAACAGTGTTTCTGGACCTGAACCATGAGATCCTAGTTCATTTGACTTTCTGAAAGTACGCCGTGACTGCAACTGCTCCAGATACTGATAAGTTTAGATATGTGTTGGGAAATAGTAGAAAACAATATGTAAAGCCTTTAGTGTTTTTCCAAAATGATAGCAAGAAGCCATCTTCAGAGTTCTATCTATAGATAGTCCTCTCTCCTTCCTTCACAATTGCTGTGCCAAGGAAGAACTTTTTTAAAAATAAAACAAAACAAAAAAAAACAACACCCCAACACCCCCATTACTCAGCTTTCTTTTAGCACTGAAGGCAGAACTATTCAATTTATCCTGCACTCCACCACTCAACAGTAGTCCTTATCTCAGCGTTACTCATGTTAAAGCTTTGTCTTCAGTGGGAACTTTACTTTGAAATAGCTTGAGTACATTAGTTGTCACAGAATTTAAAACATGCAGTTTTGTTTAGCCATTCATGCTCTCAAACTTTAGCAAGGTAAACATTCTTTCCATTGAAACAGTTTATGGTTGGTTGGGTCTTGTTTCCAAAGTTAATATGTATAGAGTTATACTGAGCAATATCCTTGACACTTACTACCAGCAGAATTCTTATCATTTTATGGTTTATTGAACTTTTATCTCTACACATTAGCCTTCGTGTATTCACCCTCAAAGAACGCACTATATGGTAAGTGTAAACAATTGTCTGGCAAACTTAGATGACAGGAGCTGGCATATTAGCAGATACTGTGTAACATCTTTATATTTTGGTTTTCTTCTTACTGTTTCAATTTGCTTTAACATAAGCAGAAGCTGCACTGCTCCTGAGCAAATTAGTATTGGAAATACAAAGCATCACATAAAATCCATACAACTGATTAGCTAGACTTGAATTCTTATACACTTAGATCAACTCTATAGTCTAGATGATGTTTGCATATAACGCACTAACTTTTGCACTGACTTACAGACAATCATTAAGGAGCAATAATACTTCATTTGTACTTTGTTCTAACAAAGGTTAATATATTGGTGTGCTGGCAAACTGGACTCTGAAATAGGTTCCACGCTGTTGGAAAAGTAGGAGTGAAGCTGATCTCTGACACGGGAAGAATTTTGGGGAACATGCTCTGTTGAGAGGGCTGCACTGGGCCCATGTCAGGGGAGATAAAGGGCTGAATCAGTGGCACTTCCGTTTTTGCATTCCTACGTAGAGGATATAATCTGACTCACACGATGATTTATAAAGTGTTATCTCTCTCTGACAGATAACGATCTGTAAAATAAATATTTGTACTGAGTGCATTCTCTGTTTTAAGCATTGAGTTTAAAATATAGAACCATAGAACAGCCCAGGTTGGAAGGGACCTGGAAAGATTATGTGGTCCAATCTTTCACAGGAAAGGGAGCCTAGATGAGATTATCTAGCACCCTGTCCAATCACATCTTGCATGCTGACGTTACACAGGAGGAAGGCACTAAATTATGGAGCTGGTCCTTTCTCTAAACCACTTAGAGTTGAGAGGGATGAAATTTACAGAAAAATGTTATTTTTCCATTAAGAAAGACAAGAGAAATGTCTGGTTGAGCATAAAGTTAAAAACTTGCTGTTGGGTTGCAAGAAGTTTTGGGTTGCAAGAAGTATTACTTTCTAAAAGGCAGAAAGTAAAAGACTGCCATGAAAAAGATGTTTATGGCAAATTGCTGGATTGAATTTTACTTGTGTGTAATTATGAGCTGCAGCTAAGCAGCACAATTATGCAAGAAATGAAGGCCTTAAAACAAGGTAGAGGGAATTGTCATAAATAGCCAATAAAAGGTTTGTTTTCTTTCATCTCTCTATAAAGGTATAAGTCCTTCATCTATTTCAAGGATGAAAAATAACTCCATACAAGGGATTACAACTTTGGTCTACTATATTTGTAGCTTAGAAATAACCAAGAAGTTAAAGAAGTCTGTGCTTTTAAAATACATATAAGCTTTTGAATAATGATTAAGAATAATGAGGTCTTAATTACTCTGATGTGCAAGTTGAAACAATATGACATAGGAAACTGCACAAGGGAGGAAATCCACTTATACAACATGGAGAATATCTATCTAAAAATGAATTAGTTATGTCATCTCCTTAACTCTTAAGAATACCGTGGTGTTATGGCTGAAGGATGAAGAATTTCAAGGAGAGAATTCCAGTTCAGATATAGTTTTGTTGAACTGTATATATGACTGCCTTGGAAGTTATGGAGTCTGTTGCTCCAGTGTTGGGTGAGAACTACAGCCACATTTCTATATGTAATGTGTTAAATTAACCGTTTTTTGTATCTTTCAGAATCACAGTTGAAAGACAATCCTGCTTTTTCTATGCTGAATGATTCAGATGATGAAGTGATCTATGGGTAAGATTATAAAATACCTATGGAGAGTTACTTCTGCTGTGTTATTTTTGTAATGTTCTCTTCCATATTCATGAAATAAGTGAAGGATTTGTAGGTTGTTAGTGAAAGTATTCTGCCTAAAGAACAGAAATATAGCCTTATTCTGAAACAGAAATGCAATGAGAATACATGTTATTTTGTTTTTTTCTTTTTTTGGTTTCTAAAAGGGATTGTCATGACACCGATACAGACAGGTAAGAAAGTATTAGGATGCTGGTAGGTCACGGAGCGAAGGCAGGAAGAGCTGTGAAAGGAGAGGATTTCCTTTTAAACTGGGAAGGATTGCAGGAGTCTGGCGGAGTTAGCAGAGGCAGCTCATATGTAAATGCTTCAGTGAAGGAGAATGGCTCTTCTTAAGTGTCCACCACTTACTGAAATAAAAATAATTAAATCTAGCAAAGCTTCCTGGACTTGTGTAAGCTTATGTAATATGAGAATTACAGCAGCACTTAAAACCCATCCTCATCAGATGTCTCAGTGCTAGACACTGAACACACACATTATCTGTCCTTGATGTTTTCACCTGTTACCAAAGACGCTGACGTGGCTGGAACAGTGAGGATGGGATTAATACTGCACTAACCTGAACAAGCTTGTGCTAGACTAGCTGTATGCATTGTCTGAGATAGCTTGCCTTTGTTTAGTTAGATAAGCAGTGGTAGTACTGGCTTGCTTCCATACAAATCCTTTGAAAAGTGGCCTGTAGTTACTGGAATAACTCTTATTAAGCATCATCCTCTGGAGAGAAGTCATATATATTGTTCATAGCCCCAACAAGGAAGGAAAACAGATACCAGCTTCTTAGCCAAGTAACAATTTGATGCCTCGATGTACTTTAGAACTTTCCTGTTTATTTTGGACTTCCTATCTGAACACCATGTTCAGAAGTTTTAACAAGTATCTGTTTCACAGGAGTGACTATGAAGAAATGCCACTTCAGAACGGCCAAGCTATTAGAGCCAAGTATAAAGAGGAATCGGACAGTGATTGATGTGGATGTAGACAGACTTGTCCAGCTGCAATTAAACCAATTTTGAAGTTTTCCTACATGGAAAACTTCCTTGGCTTCCTTACAGTCTGCTGTCATCTGAACACCAACTCCCAGGAAGGACAACCTGCTTCTGTTTCTGTTTACAAAGTTAAAAGTGAAAAAAAGAATGCTTGAAAAGGTTGTGGTGAAAACTTAAAAACCCAACATTTTTACATGTCTTATGAAATGCCTGGTAGCAGGATGTCTGTAGACTAAAATCTTTAAGTCTATTTCCATTTAGAAGTGTCATTGATTATATGCTGATTTTAGAATTGCTTTCTTGCTGATTGGTTTTTATTTTGTTTGATTTTGAGGATTATGTACAGCATACTGTCTTTCATCAGCTGCATTTGTGTTAGCTCCATTGTATATTGTCCACTGCTGTACGAAGTGCCTCATTTCCCTTTCAATTTTCTACCTTAGTCTTTTGAGCTGGAGGCAGGGAATGAAGTGTGTTAGGATTTTCTCTCTCTCTCTTTTTTTTTTTTATGCAAGAAAACATAAGCTTTCCATTCTTCCTTCCAAGAAGTGATACAGACTTAAGACCATTTTTAAAATTCATTTAAATGAGTTTACTAGATTTGTAAGTGCAAGGTATGTGCAAATACTCAAGTTCCAGTGAGCCAAAATAGCCTCAGTGGTGCAAAAATTATTTGTATAGTGTGTGTTTCATAACATGCTTTATTGCCACAACAGAAGTGTACTGTTTTTTTTAAACAGCCCTTTCAAATAGAAATACTAGGCAGCAACAAATCAAAGTTTCACAGAGAATTACAATTTCAAATTTCCAAACATTTCATTTTTAGAGGTTTTTTCCTACGTCAGAATTTTTCCTTAACTTGTACTAATAGATAATCTACATTCTAGGACCAACCATAGTTGCTCATGTGTTGGACGTGCATGAGTTAGCTTTTGAGCATGTTCTGTGCATAGTTCAACTTGTTATACCACAGCCATTACCTGTACTGATTGGAACTTTCACTAGCACATTAGTGATTATCTGTATCCCAGTCTGTGCTGGAACAAAGTTACATGGGAATTAAGTATTCCTAGTACAATGCTGCTGCTTCTCTATTTAAAAATTGTTTTTTTCTTGTTCAGTTCTTTATTTAAATGGATGCTTTTTGTTTCTAACTACTTTTGTTTTCAGGTACTTGACCTGTCTGGAAGTATCTTTTTTTTTAAATGGATTTGTAACTGTGATTTACTCTTGAAAAATTTCTCTGCCCTGCTTCTCTTTTTGAGAAGTCTCTCAAAAGCACTGTTAACGTATTAGACAGAAAATGGTGCTGGCTTACACTAGGGAATTGTGCTCATCACTGAAATAGTTTAAGCAGAAAAGTGCAATGAAATCCTACTAGACTTGCTGCATTATATTGGGGAAAAACTACATTTGTTTTGCTTTGATGCAACAACTGTTCTAGACCATTCCCATTGCAATAACTTCCTGGTAACTGTTCAAGATCAGGAAGGGGAGACTTCCCAGGATAGCAGTTTGCTTAGAGAGGACCAAAGGAACTGCTTCACCTGGTTGCATCCTTGCTATCATAGAATAGTCCAGACTGCATCAGCGCTCTGCTAAAGGCAAGTGTGGTAAGATACTCTGTGTGTGTGAGGAAGAAACGTTTCTAAATTATATAGAGCCGTGAAATTCTTTGAGTGTATTTGAAATTTAAAACTTTCTGCATCAGGGATCGTTTATTTGTTAGAAGCCAAAGCATGATGGTATGGCTAAAGCAAGGAAACTGCTGGGGAGGAGGGGAAAGTTTTTCCCTTTAATTTCTTAATTAATTGGTGTCAGTTTAGAAGAACATATAGGAAAACGTTAAAGTAGTATTTCAAGTTAGTGTTGTTTGGGGGTTTTTTCAGTGAATTGTAGTAAGCTCTATCTTCTGCACTTCCTTTTAGACTTTTTTTTAGTATGAGAGATGATCTTTGGATCCTAAAAGCGGAGAGACCATTCTCATTTTTACTATTCCCCAGATGACTCTCTTGAGGCTTACAGCTGTTTGAATTTGCAGTCAGACATGGGAGCCAACTAGGCATCCCTTGTTACCCCAAATTCTTTTGATTTCCATTGGAGTAACAGGGGGTACAGGAATTAGGTCTTCAAAAATTTATACTTACATGATCCTTATATAGTCAGATCTTTTTGGCTCTGATATTAATTCTGTTCTAAATTGTTTTGATTTGACCAATGTGCAAAGTATACTGATGCTTCTTATCACAGTGTGAACTTGTAGTTACAGTTAACTCTGAAATACAGTGTCATGCTTTGGGATTTCATTAACTAAAGAAAATATTTTTAATCTAATTTTGAGATGATGATTTTTTCCTAAGATGTTCTCAGCCCATTTTACTTCCCTTTTGTTTGCATTAATTTTCTGTATCGCTACATTCAAAGTGGAAATAGGAAAGCTGAGAATGGGAAATGTGTACTTAAAGTACCTACCTCATGGCGAAAATAGTGACAAAATAGTTTCCTTGTTAATTTTCAGAGATTATATTTAAGCAATGTTTGCCATGCAAAATACCTTTGTATTTTGGAAGTGCTAGAGTGGTTGAACCACTGTCACATTGAATTCAATATACAGTAAAAAGGCAAAAGCAGTGAAGCAGATGAGGAAATAGTTCTGCTAGCAAGAAATCTGTTTCACTCCTATTTCCACAACTGGGAAGCAGAGACAGTATTTGAGGAATATTACACTATGGATTGTAAACAGCTTGGGAGCAGGTGGCGTAAATTCACCTGAGTAAAGTCTTGTAACCTAAGGGTGAAACAGAAGATATCTGGATAAGAAACTAGCCTGGCTTTCCTTTCATTACTGCTCAAGTAATTATTTCTGTCACTCATGGAACTACATAAAATGAGAAAAGTATACAAAAAGACCCCACAGCACACAGTGTTCCTGCTCTAAAGGAGATGCCGTCTATTAAATAACTGCAAGACCTCCATGTACACAACGATCAAGAGGAACTTTTAAGAAATCAGTGACCACTGAATGTGAGTCATTCATGGCAACCATTTCTGTAGTATTTGTGTTGAAAATGCAGTTGGTGTTGGAATTGGTTGGAAACTTTCCTAGCACCAGCAAGGAAGAGGAAGCATAAGGCTTAACAGCAGCAAGGAGCAGCTAGTGCAAGAGACCTGTGGCACTAACACTGGGGAAAAGGGGATGATGGTTCCAGCTAGGAAACACTTTGATCTGTTGCCTTTCTTTGAGCCAAAAGACAACTTTGCATCCACAGTCACCTAACTCTTCCCCCATTTCTTTTTGCTTATGCCAGTAATAAACTTTGCATTACTGTAAAACTTTTTTTAGAAGTTTGTAAATATGTAAAATGAAAATATGGAAAAACCGTGTACCAAAATGGTATAAAAATGTGTAAGATAAATGCTCTGTTTAATGAGAAGCTGTAATTAAATGCTGCTTTGAGAAAGTGTGCATGAAGAAGTGTTAAATATTCTATGTATCTAGAAGTTGTGTTAATGACAGCAAATTATCCATTTATGTTGGAAAACTTCATGCTAATGTGAAATATGAAGGAAAAACTAGTATTTTATTTCAAGCAAAAATTGGGCATTGGGTTTCCTGGAAGACTTCATGTGCATAATCATTGTTAAATATGTTCATAATAAAATTTTATATCTTTATATTGTATCTTGGTTTTATTTTCCTTCTAATGAATAAGTAACTGTACCCTTTTTGTAACTTACACATTTTCATTCTACATGTATTCTCTTATGCATATTTAAACTTGGTTAATTGCATAAGAACGGGATCAGGAGGCTGTGTCAGCCACATCATTTTGGGTTGGATTGGTTGGTGTCTTTTTTTTTTTTTTATTATTATTACCCTTCCTGGGCTAGCAGGTGGAAGGACAGGTTGCTAATTTTCCTAAGAACTACAGGAGCCAGTTTACAAAGCAGAACTGCCATTCTCAAGTGAGAAAAAGCCTGCTGTGATCATGCTGGCCATAAAACCTCCCGTGGTGAATGTTGGTGCCAGCTGTCTTTCTGCCGAATGCACACGTGTTGCTGTCAGAGGCCCCTGCCAGCAGAGTGTTCGTTCTCCCACTTACCCTGCAATGCTCCTTCCCCTCAGCACACTCTGGGCAGGGCTGCCTCACCTCCAACCCCCAGGCCAGGAATAAAAAGAGATTTAGAGATGGTGAAAATGCTGATGTCATTCATCTCCTCCTTATAGCTCTGTATCTTCCAAGAGTCTGCTTATAGCTGGTAGACTGCAAAAATGATCAGCATGTCACCCTCAAGGTGGGGTAGTGCTATTCCTTGTATAAACTCGAGGAGAGACTGAAATCTTATTGTGTCTGAATAAAACATGCAAACATCTCTGCACAAAGGGATCAGAGATGGTAGTGCTCATTTACCAGCAGCAGTCAACCCTGAAGCCATTTCCTTTAGGTTTTAGTGAAAATAGTTGATGGTGGAAGACAGGTCATGCTCATTTGTGGCAGTTACAGTAAATGATGACCCCTCACACTTCCCGCTCCACATCAGGGCTGACGTGCCCCTGCCCTCTATAGCTATAGTCATATGAAAAGCCACAGCAGTAAGCTAGAGACAGGAAACAGAGACTGACTCTATAATTACCTTCCTGAATGCATCAGCCCACAGTTTGTGCTAATTTTTGTTGGTTATTTTGTTTTGTTTTTTCACAGCCAATTAATTACTTAGAGCTAGGACTCTGCAAGCTCATCACCCTAATGCTTTACTTTGGCACTGAGATGAGCAATATAAAATCAGTAACTGTACAACATCAAGACAACATCAATGACTATAGCATTTTACAGAAAAGCCCTATCTTAACTGGGGGGGGGGCGGGACAGAGGGGACCAACACCCAAAAAAACACAACCCCCCTTCTGTACTCCTAAAACTGTTGCATCAGGAACATCAGTTATTGCTCACATGGAAAACAATCTATAAAACCATATCCACCTTTCTGTATCACAACTTCTGTTTTAACGCAACAGGGGTCTTTCCTCCCATACAGCTTTTATATTGACAAGCACCTCAAACATTTTTTTCTACAGTTCAGCACATGCATGAACCAACAAAACCAGCAAAAAAATCAAGGGATTTGCTAATATTAACATGAACAAAGGATAAGGGATGTCTGAATGCCTTGACCAAGAAGCTAAGTGTTTCTAGAAGTAAATACTGACTCAAAGTGCACAAAACTACACTACCAGCATCATTCTGGCACGATGATGGAAAGGAGATAAAGTATCCAACTATTCAGATTAAAAATTTCCTTAGCAATTGAGAGATCAAAGATTTGTTCATTTTATGCCAAGTTTCCCTCTCACCCCGATGACTATTTCAAGCACTTTACTCAATTTATTTGTTTAATAATGTATTTTTACAGGGGTTATATCAGTTCTGACATTAAATACTCAGCATTCTGTTTCTAGTCAAAGCCATGCTAAAACTCTTTCTGCTATAAATACGTAAGGTATGTACACTCGCTGTAGCCCTGTAGCACCCACTAGGACACAGGATAGAATAAAGTGGCTCACCCTGAAGGAGAAGTGTTTACAGAGATGTTCTGAAACTGGTACGCCAGCAGAAATACAAGCCTTACAGCTAAATTAAAAGTCTCAAATGTACCAAGTCCAAACCTGCTAATACAGATAACCTTTTTACCCTACTGACAGCAGAAATTGATAGAAAGAGGTTGAAGCCTTGCCTAGCACAGGATTTTCTACAGTCTGTCTGGATATGCTGAGTACAGTTACCACAGAGAGCATACACCCTTATGCACCCAGCACTGTGAAAAACAAATCCTCTACTGTCATTTGATTTTTCAGTCATATATTTTCAGATTATGGAAACATACTGTTGTATCAGCAGCCATCACATCCTGGACAGCTTTAGTTTTCAGAATCTGGCTCTCAACATTTGACAGGGATGCCTGAACATCAGCAAACGCAGGTCCCTCAGACTGACTGTAGCCCAGAGTACTCTCCTGTTCTTGCCCTGTAAGTAAATTCTTTCAACTTCACAAGCGGTGAGCTACTGCTTACAGAAGCAGCATAGCAGTTCACAGAAGTTGTCTGGAATTCACAGCATGCTCCCATTTCTTTAATTAGCTGACAAAGGAAACCTTACCCAAGCCTATGCTGAAAACCCATTTTACTTGTTTTACTCTGCAACTTCACCCTAGAATGCTGGAGACTTATTCACATTATTTAGTTGTATTGTTTTTGTAAGAAACTATGAACTAAGGGTATTGTTTATTGAAATTTATGTTAAGCTCAATGTAAAGGTTAGGCGGCAAAAGACAAAAAAAAAACTGCTTATGCAAATAGCTGCCAGACACCGCTTGTGTGAGACAAGATAACCTGTGAGACAAGATGACTGCGTGAGATAAGATAACCGCAATTGCTTACACAAACCAGATACTTGTGCAAGCAGAAGGGGGTACTGATCAAAGACAACCACGAATGTAAAAATGTATAAAAAGGAACTGTTTGAACTGATCAGTACGGCAGTTGGCGGAGCGCAGACTCCCCTGCCGTCCAGCGCTGTCTTTGCTCATATTCTACTTGCTATAATTAATAAAATTATAATTGGATTATGATCCATTGTGGTCTCAATTTATAACAATTTCATGGTGCCGTGACTCGGATAAGGAACGGTGGGCTTCTGTCCTCCGGGGAGGTGCCCCGCGGCAATCCGCGGCCCCGCGACTGATAGCCCACCCCATCCTTACCGACGAACCTAAATTCTAGAATAATGAGCAAAGGAGAAACCGGTAAAATCCCATAAAAATTCTGTGCACGGGAGTCCGGACGAAGACGCAGGATGCGTAAGTATATTGCGGATTTGTTCGCGGGTTTACCGTTCGGGCGGGATTGGGTTTCCTGCATTATAGCGAATGAGAGGTTCGATATACTGAACCAAGCGAGTGCGGACCCTTAAGTACTGCGTTTCCCATCTCCCGCGAGGGACTGGGCCAGGAACAAGGGGAGCAAGTGAGTGTGTGTTTGTGGATAATCCAGAAGATGGGGGCGAAGGGCAGCAAGCCTTCGACTCCCATGGGAAGGGTACCCACTGTACCTAAGAATACCCCTCTGGCATATATCTTAGACAATTGGAGATATTTCCCTGGAACACTAGGGAAAGATAAGCAGAAAATGATAGAATATTGTACTAAGATATGGGGAGGGAAGAAGATTTCTAAAAATGTCTTTTGGCCAGTCTGCGGGTCAGAAGAAGATTGGATAAGGCAACAATTAAATCTCTGGGTTAATAATAAAAAACCCCTTAACCCGGAAGAAAGTCAGTATGCGGGAGTGTGGCTAAAAAGACCGGGAGCTAGACTTTACCCGCTGAATGAAATAAAAACTAAACAAAAGAAAAAGAAGGAAGGGTTAGACGAAACCCTTCTAACCCCCCCTCCTTACATTTCCCCTCCTGCTCCCACAGCCCCTCCAGAGGTCCCCAGAGCGCCCACTCCCCCACCGGAGTCGGAACAAGAGTCTCCCCCTCCTCCTAGACGTGTAACTAGAAGCCAAAAAGGGGCAGCTCAGATGTACCCCCTAAGGGAAATACCCATGGGGGGACCTCAACCCGTGATCGGATATATTTCCGTACCCCTAAACTCGGCTGACCTATGAGATTTTAAAAGAACCGAGATGGGAAACTTAATTGAGGACCCACTCGGAGTGGCAGAAAGATTAAATCAATTTTTTGGACCAAACCTTTATACTTGGGATGAGATGCAATCTATCCTTGGTCAATTATTTACTACCGAGGAAAGAGATATGATTAGACGAGCAGGAATGAGACTGTGGGATGCTCAACATGCCCAGGGACCTCAAGCGGATATTAAATGGCCACTCCAAAGACCTAATAGGGATAATCAGGATCCGGTGCATAGAACTCATATGCAGGACCTGAGAACTATAGTAATTCAGGGAATTAGAGAAGCAGTACCCTGTGGCCAGAATATTAATAAAGCATTTAATGAAATGCAAAAGAAAGATGAGAGCCCTACTGAGTGGCTGAAACGACTGAGGAAAGCCCTTCAGCTGTATTCTGGGGTAAATCCAGACGACCCTTTAGGGCAAGCACTCCTCAAAACTCAGTTTGTGGCAAAATCATGGGAAGATATCAGAAAGTCTATGTAAGGCGAGAGGAAGAGAGCAGCAAGCGACAAGTAAAAATGATGGTAGCAGCGGTCAGAGAGGATCGTAAAGGACGAACTGGTGAACACGGATCTGCTGGAACGAAACAAGGGAACGTAGTAGTAAAGAAGGAACAGAGATGTTGTTTTTACTGTGGAAAGAAGGGACATATAAAGAAGAATTGCAGAGAAAGGATCAGGGATGAGGAAATATTGAAAACGGAATAGGAGAGCCAGGGGCTCTATATCTTAGGGGACCGGAGTCATCATGAGCCCTTGATAAAATTAAAAATAGGTCCCCATAAACAAGAGTTCACCTTTTTAGTAGACACTGGGGCTGAAAAATCGACTATTAAACAAATACCTGAGGGATGTAAAATTTCCTCGGAAAAAAAGTACAAGTAATTGGGGCAAAAGGAGAACCATTTAAAGTAAACAAAATCAAAAATGTGGTATTCGAAACTGAAAATAAATTTGGAATGGGTGAACTCTTGCTCGTC